GGATTAAAGTTTGTGCCTCGATAAAAAAAACAGAGGGTTGGGGACTATGAAGCTAAAACTGATGAATGAAAGCATGCTGACTAAATGGTTTCTGGTGTTTTCATGAAGTTCTTAGACATAAATATGGGATGGATGTGTTCTATGGACTTATCAAAAGCATAAGATCAAAATCTTCTCTGTGGAGTACTCGGAAGGGGATAGAAAGTTGTAGACCTATTTACCTTCGCTATTGCCATAAATTGGTGGGAAAGGGTGACCAAACCTTATTGTGGCTTAATAAATGGTTAGGGAATTATGCCCTTCAATATTCTTTTCCTAATTCTAAGGTTTTGAACCCTTTGAACCCCAGTGAGAGAATTAAGAGGGGAGGAGACTAGTAACAATTCTTGGTCTGTTATTTGTAGGGACACAAGGGTGGGTGCTTGATAACTTCATTGAAGAGTTCCAAAGACATATGGAGCTACTAGAAAAAAAAATTTGTGCTCCTAACAAAGACAGACACTTATTTGGGACCCTAACCTAGCAATAGATTTCACAGTGAGAACAGTATATCGACTCGTTTATGATGATCGATTTAGAGCGGTAAATCCAAATCTATCTAAAGTTTGGAGGTTGCATATTCCACTGAAAATATAGTTGTTTCTTTGAGCAGCATATCAAAATAAACTACACACTATGGAGAAGACGATTCATTTTAACAAATGTGTCTACTTTGTTTACAAGGTTATGAATCAGTAGACCACATAATGCTACACTGCCCATTTTATTGGGAACTATGAAATTATAAAAAAAGTTTGATTTTGCTGCACATTCCAATCCCTCCATTTGTACTGATGACCCCAGGAACTACAAAAATTGGGACGGTATTATGGAGATCCTTGTAGACTGGTATTATGTGGAACATTTGAAGAGAACGCAGTAGAAGGGCCTTTACCTTTGAAGGTGAGTTTAATATTTTTAAATATTATATTAACTGTTATGTCCGCTGAATGGTTCTTAAAGACTGCAGTTTCATCCCAAAATAACCTAATGGAACTCATTGCGTGGGCTAAAGGTGAGACTGAAGTCCCATGAAAATTGATCCTTTTTTTTTTTTTAAATGAAATTATTTCCATTTTATGTTCTAGCTTTTTCCGAGTTTTGCCACTGTTTTAAAGAGGCTAACTTTGAGGTTGATTCCCTAACGAAAGGTGGTGAACACCAATCATTTCATTGTTGGCGATCAAACTCAAACCAATCGTACCTCTCCGGTAATTTCTACTATCTTCAGTTAATGAAGCTTGTGGTTAATGGTACAAAAAAGAAAAGAAAAAAGGAACTTTAGTTTAAGATCCTTAGTATTTAAAAACAGAAAAGGGGTAAAATTTTTCTAAAAAATTACGAGGACGTTCACCATATTCCGTGAATGTTAATAAATAAAAAAATGATCCATGCCATGAATTACAAAGCACAAAACATCTTTCTCCATGAGAGTGTTTAGAGCATGAAGATGAAGATGAAGATGAAGAGGTGCAGCTCTCTCTCTCTCTCTCTCTCTCTCTCTCTCAACACACACAAGGAATGTAGCTTTCTCTCCAACGCATCACAGTCATGGGGGTTGGGGGTTGGGTTTTGGGTTTGGGTGGGTGGGGCCTTTTCACTCACCACTAGAAACCAACCGACCAAACCACAGAAGTCCTTGGTAATTTTTGTGGGGTAGGGGCCCCTGCCCTACACATGAAGACACAGAGAGGGTGGGTGTCCCACAAAACTTTTGGGTTTCCTTCCTTTGGTCTTTATTGGAAGTATGTTTGACATGATGGGATGACTGAGCATACGATGCAACAACCCCTCTCTCTCTCTCTAAAATCTCTCTCTCTCTCTCTAGTAAGAAGACAAGCATCTCTCTCTCTCTGGAGTGAGACAAACATCTCTGGCTGATGAGTAAGAAAACATTTCTCTCTCTCTCAAACACAAAGCACGCGTTAAATGCCGTACCAGGGGAAATCCGAAAAGCAAATGCTTTCTCTAGGGTCAATACACTAAGCTTTTGCTGGTGGCGAAGGAGGCAGGGAATCCTGGGAGATTTTGATCTTTTTGAGTCACTTTGCTGGTCTGGTGGCCCTTCATTTCAAACTAAAGCCACAGAATGATCCTCTCTATTTCTCTCTCTCTCTCTCTCTCTCTCTCTCTCCAAAAAAAGGTACAGGTCTCCTCTCCCTTTCTTTCTCCTGCATTCCTAACAAAAAAAGGAAAGAAAGCAACATGACCAAACTATTCTTAATTCTCATTTTTCCGGGAATTCCAAATGCCACATACTCTCTCTCTCTCTCTCTCTCTACAAAAGTAAACAACGTGCCTCTTCCCTCCATCTTTTTTCTAAACTCTCAAACAGTAAAGGAGGAGAGAGAAATAATGGCCAAGGTATCTTTTAATCCTGACTGCCCATGGAATTCTAACACACTCAAAACCACCACTGGTCCAGGTCAAACCAGCTGGTTTTATGATCTTTTCAGTTCTAGTACTACTTCTCTTGCCTTGGACTCACTTTAGTTCAAATCTCTGATGGTTCACCTAATTGGACCAAAATACTTTTCAAAAAAATTCAAACAAAAGGAAGAGAGGGCACTACCCAAAAGATTGGAGTACCATAATCCAGTGGAGATTATGGTACCATGTTATAACATAATCCAAAGGGGACCCGCCAGGATGTTTGCGAATCTTCGCCGACCCGATGGTGGATCGCGCTTTGAAGCAGAGCTCCACTCGATTATCGTGACATTTCCCCTTGGTCAATGGGCAAAACCATATAATTCACACATGCAACAACCAGACCGACCAACCCAAATCTTTTTTGTTCCCTCTTTACAAAAAGCAAAAGAACTTGTGGCCTGGGTATAGACCACTTGGGTATAGACCATTTGACAGAGTGACAGTTTTCTCTATATCCCAACCAGACTTCCTTACTGTGTTTCCCTTCGGCAATTAGTAGTGATTTTATTGAAGCAGAAGGCTTCAACAAATAAGCTCAAAACCATTGGGCTCAACTGACCAGACCAACGAAAATAATGCAACCAGGCCAGAAATAATAGAATGAGAAATAACATGGTTACACATAGGTTTGGGTTAATGGGTTTCGTTCGGTCTGCTAATTTATTCGCTCGGGTACAATTTGAGTACGATTGAGAGCATAGAAAATCCAATGCGACTAGGAAATAGTAAGATCTAAACTTCTTTTTTTTTTTTAATTTAAAGTTGGTTAATTTGAACTTCTTATAAAAGATTTGTAGGACAGAAATGATGCTGGCCTCATGCTCACTCTAAGAACAAAGGGGTGTCGCATTATTTTTAGAGAACTTTTTAAGGTTCTTGTCGCCTGTCGAGTAAAAAGGGCATGGGTCATCACGGGTCCTCTATATTTTGATTCAAGAATAATCAATGCTCTAAAATTAAAAGGCAGAACTAAATAGAAATTAAAGACAAAAAACTATTAAGGAGGCCCATGTAGTGGACCACCGATGAAAAGCTCATAATGTGATGGGATGCACATTTTAGGAATAGCAATCAAACAAAGTGCCCAGCACATTTGGAGTTTGATTGAGCTGGGCCACTTGATCCCTAAAAAAATTAACAACAATTCAGGACCCAAGTTAAACCAAACTAAGCCAAAAAAACGATGCACCAGGGCCTGAAATCAAATTCAGGTAAAAATTACCAGAATTTAGAACTGTTCACTGAAGATGGGAAAGATTAACCCTCCTGCCCCTGTTGGGGAGGTGGTGGACACTCTCTCGGGCCACAACACTCATGACTCAACAATCCACTTACAGATGGAAAGGTTTTAAGAGATCAAATATATTTTTTTGCAGGTAAGAGGGACTAGATTTGGACCCTTCTCTGCCAAATCCCAAAACAAGAGGAGAGTGTCTCCTTTTATTAACCCAAGAATGGGTAAGTTCTACACGTGAAGGAAGACAGAAAGTTGGATGGATGACCGAAAGGTGTTCACAAACCGTGTCCACCTAATTGAGCCATGGAAACATAAGATACTCCTTGGTTTGGTCCACTGATATTCTTGGTCCAATGATGATCTTTCTAACTCAGCCAAAAGCCTAATTTCACCAATTTACCTAGGAGAAATACCCAGGAAAGACAAAGAACAACAGCTACTTGCAACTCCTTTTGCATGAAAAGTTCAACCATTTACCAAAGGTCCACAGCACCAATAGTAATTACATAACATCAAAAGCAATTCCATTACATTTTGAAAGACATCATTTCCATTTTCTTTTCGGAAAAATGAGCAGAGTTTAGGTCTGAATACAGCTATTGTCAACACCGTTGGGACAATAGCTTTTGGTGATTGTAGTTGTACACATCTTTTGACTATCTATTCTTCATAAGTTCTCATATTCATAATGCATGTTTACATTCTGTAAAGTAAAACTTAACGCCATAGAAAAGAAAAGAAAAAAAGAATCAATTGGACTATTTGTCACAAACTAGAAAATCAGAAACCCAGGTTGGAACTGAGATTGAAAAACATGGGTAAAGGAATCTGTGTAAGAACGAGCTGCACAGAGAGAGAGAGAGAGAGAGAGAGAGAGAGGAGAGAGAGTACGTACCG